CACAAAGAGCAATTGTGTGTGTGTGTGAACATGAGGTAACAAATGTTGCAGGCACCTCAGCTGCCTGTAGCAATACTTAGATTCTCTGGGGCAGATAGGCCCGCAGAGACACTTCTCTAAAACTCAGCTGTCCTGCCCACATATCACATGCTTGTGTTCAAGACAACTAATGATTTATTATTAATTATTATTGTAGCGCTGAGGAGCCCCAGTCATAGACCAAGACCCTATTATGCTAGGTGCTGTACAAACACAGAAGACCGTTTCTGATCATGCTTATCTGAGACTGTGTGTGGGCACATATATTATTATTTGTTATGATTATTTATTATTTGTATTACCATAGCACCTTAGAGCCCTAGTCATGGACCAGGACCCCACTGAGTTAGGTGCTGTACAAACACAGAACAAAAAGACCATTCCTGTCCCAAAAGGCTTGCAATCTAAATATAAGACAACAGACGAATACAGAAAGATGGGAGAGTACAAGGGAATGAGACAACATTGGTCAGCTTGTTAGGCAGTGGTCTGAGCACATGAGCAGCCTAACTGTTGTCAATTCTTTTGTGGACCTCACAGCAAAGGATAGTTTGAAGGAGGGTTTTGAATGAGGCTACTAAGTTAATTTTGTGGATGTTTATGGGGAGCTTCTCCCAAGCATGAGGGGCAGCTTGGGAGAAAACACAAAGGTGCTTTGTTTGAAAATTTAACTAGTGGGCGATAGAGGCTGGTGTCATGGGCTGATCAGAGGCTGGAGTTGACCTTTTGATGAGAATGTAGATATAACAGGTCAAGTGGGGATACGTTGTGAAGGGTTTTGAAAGTGAAGACTAATAGATTCATATGATAGAGAAGAGGGAGCCATGAAGGGATGCAAAGAAGAGGGTGACATGATCAAAGTGACATGTTAGGAAAATGATCTTTGCAGCAGCATTCTGAATGGATGTCAGTGGTGCAAGAAAGCATTTGTCAAAGCCAGAGAAAAGGATGTTGCAGAAATTGAGATATGAGATGAAGAGAGTCTGGATGAGCATTTAAGCTGTCTGTACACATACCTAAGTACTAACAGCACTATGCCCAGCCAACCCAAAGCTTTCCTTGGTGCCTGAGGGCAAAATTTGTTTAGTGGCCCAATCCTGTTCTCATTGAAATCAATAACAAAATTCCTGTTGCCATGAAAGGGAGCAAGATCAGGTCCTAACTGAGTACGCTGGCTGTGTGCAAGCATTCTCCATGGACAATGGGAGGAAATGGAATTCTTCCTCTGATGCATCACCAGCAAATCCATAAATGCTATACCAATCTTAGGGCTGCAGTCATATTCACAACCCCTTTGCTCCTCTTCCTTGAAGCATATTGGCCAGAGGATGTATATAGACAATCCTTCCATCCCTGCCTATTTCTTCAACCCCCTCTCCATAGTTGAGACAGAGTATCTGCAAAATGGTGCAGGTGGCAGAAGTGTTCCAAAGTGCAGCCTCTTGGTGTCTCAGAAATGCCATTCTGATTCCTTTGCTTTGGTGGCATTCTCCAGTCCTTCCACAGGCTACAGGGTGAGACCTTAAATGTGCGGAGTTCTTTTAGAATGTCTACTGAACAATCTTTACTTGCATTGTAAGCTCCTTTCTTATATACAGGGCCTAGCATATTGGGGCCTCTTGGCATTACTCATGATAATGTGGTTTTGTTTGCCTCAGAAATAGAAGCCACCATTCTTGATGTCTGAAGAGTGGTAGTTGTTTTTGGAGGTAGAGAATGGAATAAAGTGAGAGAGGGTTGGGCCAAAATGAGACTGTTTATTGGTCAAATCCTGCTCACCTTATTCAGTCCTGACTGAGAATTTATTGAGTTAATGTTTTCCCTCTTGTAGTGGGTAAACAGACTATTTCCTTTGATCAGTTTATTCATTTACCAATTATGTACCTTGTTGAATGACTAAACTTGGAACATATCAGTAATAGTCACCTTGCATAACCCCCACGTTAATAGTGAATGTTACAATATTTGTGGCTATTCTGATTTGTTGACACACAAGTATACTTACCTGGAGTTGTAATTTTCTTCTTCTATTACCTTTATGCCACTGTTTCTGGTGAGGATCATGGTGACAGGATGGACAGTAGGGAGGAACAGACCTCCTTTTCCTCTACAACAGGTTCCAGCTCCTCCTGAGGGATTCCCAAGCGTTCCCAGGCCAGCTGGGAGATATAATCTCTCCAGTGTCCTAGATCGGCCTGGGGACCTCCTCCCAGTGGGACATGCCTGGTCCAAAGGAAGCCTCCCAGAGGGCATCCTTATCAGGTGCCTAAACCACCTTAGCTGGCTCCTCTTGATCCAGAGGAGTAGCAGCTCTCCTTCGAGGCTCTCCTGAATAGCCAAGCCCCTCACCCTCTCTTGGAGAGTACGTCCAGCCACACTGTGGAGAAACCTCATTTCTGCCGCTTGTACCCACGATTTTGTCCTTTTTGGTCATTACCCAAAGTTCATGACCATAGGTGAGGATGGGGACATGGATTGGCCTGTAAACCAAGAGCTTTGTCCAAGAACTCATCTGCTGCTTCACCACCACGGATTGGTACAGCGCCCGCATCACTGTTGCCGCTGCACCAATCCACTGGTCAATCTCCTGCTCCCGCTTACAATCACTTGTGAACAAGACCCCTAGGCAGCTGCTCCCCCTTCACCTAGAGAGAACACTGGGAGAGGACCATGACCCCCAATTTGAAGATGCTGATTCTCATCCCAGCCGCTTCACAGTCAGCAGCAAATCATAATTTTCTGTATCTCTTATATAATGTCTTTGTACAATGTGACTCTATGAACAATCCCCCCCCTTTTTTTTCCATTACAGATAGAATCATTAAAACAATAAAATAACTGATTCCATAAAGAATATATAACTCTGCAAAATTCAGGAGTGTAGCGTATTCTTTTAGCTGGTTCACACTTTATAGTATTCTAAAAAGGACCCTCTGAAACTTAGAAAAGTTCTTTGACCTGGCCCCAGATAGTAAAAAGAAATTCAAAACAATGTGAAGTAGCTGAGCTTAAGATGTTTCTTTCATTCTCAGAGGCCTTGCTGATACTAGTGGTAGTCTCCATTTTAGGCACAGGGAATATCTCTCAAACCAGTAGAATCTTTCAAAACAAGGTGTGGGGGAGATGTTTTTAGTTTGTAATTACTGCAGCTGCTCAGTAATGGGAGTACACCAAACCCGTAATGTGCCAGTAACATACCACGGCTCAAAGGCAAGTACTGCAGGTGCTTCAGTAGCTAGGTCTTAGGGTGCTGGCCTTGGTAGGGTGCCAGTAACCAGTCAGACACATGGTTACAAGAAAAGGTATTTTACTAGGGCTGGCAGGAAAGGGAAAGGTTGCACATACCTTAGGTTCAGAGGCTTAAACCTTTACAGTTCAAAGTGAGCCATAGCTGTAAATGTTTGGGTCCCTGGAGCAGTCCAGTCGAGAAGTAGGGATCTTCAGGGATAGTGCCTGGGGTACCCTCTCCAGTGCAGCTCTATTCCAAGCAAATAGGAACTTACAGGTTTCCAAACCAGGCTCAGTGTCTCTGATTGGGGCCTCTCTGCACTGCCTCCCTGCCCAGCTGCTGTTGCTTCTCTGTAAGTGCCATATAGTCCTGCACCCAGCTGTGATGTCCAGCAGTCACAGCCTTTTCCATGTGTGGCTCTGTATATGGTTTCTGGGGAATCTTTTTTGGCTCTAGCGTCACTGTAGCTCCTGGCTAGCCATGCAGCTGTGGCTTCACTGAACACAGCATGGCAGTGCCCACTTTCTGGTTCAAGACTTTTCTCCACTGCACATGCCCTTCCTTCTAGCCAGATAAGGGGAAAGGACTGATTCAAATTAGAATTAATGCATTCACCTTTGGCCTGGCTGCCCACAACTCTCCCATCAGAGGGCCAGATCAAACCTGAGTGATGCAGTGAGCTCATGCCCAAGGGGCCAGGTCACTAAGCCCAGAGTGGGGGGCCGAGCCCAGCCTACCCTATGTGATGGGAGTGATGGGAGCTAATGCTGTGGGATGAGTGCAGGATCACTCTGCAACTCCTCCCCTCTTGGGGCAGCACCCACCTCCCAATCCCAGTGACAGCACACAACCTTGCCCCTCTAGGGACAGGGCCTGCCCTGCGTTAGCCACTAGAAATGTTGGGAAGTATGATACAAGTGCAATCAAACATCCAGTACTTATACAAATCACGTAAGTGTTAAAAATAACCTCACAATAAGATGCCCCTCCTCTTTTCCCCCTTTTTCAGTTTGCTCCCTATGCACCCATTTAATTCATCCCTCTCCGTCCTCATAATAAGCATGTACTGCTACTGCAGGCCGATACAGTTGAGCAGTAGGTTTCAATTATTTTTTTGGGGTGGGGGAGAGGAGAGGGAATATTTGTGATTTATTGAAAGTGATGTGGGGAGGCACACTGGTACAGATCTAGATTGGTGCATTCCTCTGCCTTGTGTTTTCTCACAAGGTTGGCAGTCTGACTAACTCCAGGCTTTGGACGGCCAGGCTGTTGGTTGGAGTCTCCTATGCGGGTCTTAGATGATGGAGGTAGAAGGGGTTGCACTGGGTACATGCTCCCTGCTTTAAGGGACGTGTTGGCTGCTGGAAGCTGTCAAGTGCCTCCAGGTACTATGGATAAGGGCGCCTGTGCTAACACTTAGAGCCCCGGGTACGCGGATACAAATCTGTAACCGGACAGGGCTCTACTAACAGTGCCCTATAAGCAGGAAGATCTGTTTTGCCTGGCCCACACTCCGAGCTGCGCGGAGCTCCGATCCGCTGTTCAGCGCAGAGACCGTGGCCAAAATCGGGGCGGTCACTCAGGATTGTGCAACCGAACTCACCTGGCCCCTGGCCATCAGCGGGGGCGGCTCAGCGGCAGGAGCAAAGCCCGGGCTGGACTCGCTACTTTAGCGCCTGCAGACCTGTTGCTCGCGAAGCGCTCCGCGGCAGAGAGCGGCGCTTGCAGCAGGCAGGGCATCCAGTTCGGCTTTTTCAAGCAGCTTCCACGTGGCCCTTCAGTCGGGCTAGAGGGAGTCGCTCCCCGGCCGCAGGGGACTGGAGCGGTCCGCAGAGCGGCATCACCATGGGTCTCCAGCGCAGGGTAATACGGCTCCTCGCCTGCAACCGGGTCTGGGGCAATGGCTGGCTGAGGGGGCCAACCCCGCGCGGCGCTGGGAGCCCTCCCGCCGCCCGCCGCTCCCTGTCCGCCGGGCAAGCCGCCCCCGAGGGCGCGTACGAGCAGGCGTTCAGGGCCGCCGTGGCGGAGCCCGAGAAGTTGTGGGGAGAAGCCGCCGGGCGGATCCAGTGGCACAAACCCTGGGCCAAACTCGTGGACAGGAGCAACCCGCTCGTCGCCTCCTGGTGAGCGACACCCCGCCTCCGGGGGCGCCCTCGGAGCAGTGGGTGACCGGGCGGCGGTCAAGCAGAGAAGGGCTAGAGACAGCGGGGGGAAGCCCAGTGTCCCCCTGGCAGCGAGGGGCTGGAGGGAAGAAGAGAGTAACCGTAGTGGGGTCGGGTGTGTGGGGAGGAGCAGCAGCAGGGAATGTCCCCAAACCTTCCATGGGGGTCAGGTGTGTGTGGGGAGAACAGCTATTGCCTCTAGCATATAATGGGGGCCTGTGTTTGTAGGGGGAGGAAGAGCAGGGAATGTCCCACACTTATCATGGGGATCCGGTGTGGGAGAAGCAGTAAGTGCCTCTAGCCCAGGGGTGGGCAAACTTTTTGGCCTGAGGGCCACATCGGGGTTGGGCAACTGTATGGAGGGCTGGGTAGGGAAGGCTATGCATCCCCAAACTGCCTGGACCCCGCCCCCTATCTCCCCCCTCCCACTTCCTGCCCCCGCACAGGACTCCCAACCCATCCAATTCCCCCTACTCCTTGTCCCCTGACCACCCCCTCCTGGGACCCCCCACCCCAACTGCCCCCCAGGATCCCACCCCTTTATCCAACCTCCCCTGTCTGCCCTCCTGACCCCAGCCACATCCTCAACCCCTGACAAGACCCCCCTGGGACTCCCGAACCCTCCCTGTTCCCCACCCCCTGACTGCCCCCCCAGAACCTCCACTCCAACCAACCACCCCCTCCTTGACTGCCCCCCAGGATCCACCGCTCCCCTACCCAACCCCCTTACCAGCATCAGGAGCTCGCAGCTACGACACCCGTCCAGAGCCAGCTGCGCTCCCCACAGTGCCCAGCGGGAGCGACGGGCCAGAATGTGGCTGCGGGGGAGGTTCCCCGCAGCCACATTCTGGCCCGCCGCTCCCGCTGGGCACTGTGGGGAGCGCAGCTGGGGACTAGGCTCCCTGGCTGGGAGCTCAGGGGCTGGGCAGGACGAGCCCGTGGGTCGTAGTTTGCCTATGTCTGCTCTAGCATATAATGAGAGCCAGGGGTTTGTTTGTTCGTGTGTGGTGGTGGGGAGGAGAAGAGAATGCCTCTAATGTATAATGGGGGTCAGGTGTGTTGGAGGGAGCGCATGCCCTCCGTCTTTAATAGGGGTCACTGTGCACATCTGTGTTCTTCCTTCCCTGATCTTCACCAGGAGTATGTTTGGTATACCCGTCATGTCAAAACAGAGACATTTGTTTAGAAAATATAGACCCTTTTAAGTGGGGAAAATGGGTATGTTTCACCAATACTAAAACATGCATAAGGAAGCCAAATCAATGTGTGTTTTGTTGGCTGTTTCTGTAGCATCACACCAAAAGTAGATCAGAATGTAAAGAATAAATGTTTGCTATACTGTTTATGGCAGAGGATGTCTATAACATGAGATTACAGGTAAATCATTGCACCATTCACTGAGAGTATGCATTCCACTTACACTAAGCTAAAATCAAATTACAGCAAGAGATTTTAGATAGTTATTTTAAAATCCTGTTACTTTTATTATGATACTTTGTAAAAGAGAATAAATTAATCTGCTAAATTAATTTGCAGTTTGTGAAAAGTTTGCACTCTGGAAAGAAGACATATTTTATTCTGGTGAATCTTGACAAAATTTAAACTCTTTTGACCTTCAAAAAGTTTTATATTTTGACAATATACTAACACAGCAACATAATTGATATCAGTTAAAGTAAATTGCAAGATAATTTGTTACATTCAGTGCCTTTCCAAAGACGGCTTCACCATTGTTTGTGTGTGTGTATATTGTATTGGGGAGGCAGGATAATGTTAGAACAAAAATTTCCATTGCATTCCTCTAGAAAACCTGTGTACAATCTACATCAAAAAACTGCGGGAGCAGTGTCCCAGCTGTGTGATTAGTAAGTCTATGCCCTATGTCTTTTTTTTATGTTTTCATAAGGGAATTTCAATTAAACTCACCATTTAGACTTTAGTTTAAAAATTATGATCAAGCACGTGATCTGTCAGGGTTCTAAATTATTTCCACTAATTTAGCTTTAATACAATAATTTGTCATGAGAATATAAGCATTACTCTGCATCTCTCCACTGCAGGGGTGGCCAACCTGAGCCGGAGAAGGAGCCAGAATTTACCAGTGTATATTGCCAAAGAGCCACAGTAATATGTCAGCAGCCCCCCCATTAGCTCCCCCACCCCGCTCCCAGTGTCTCCTGCCCACCGACAGTCATGCCGATCAGCACCTTCCCCCCCTCCCTCCCTGCACATCCTGATCAATTGTTTCATGGGGTGCAGGAGGCTCGGGGGGGAGGGCGAGGAGCAAGGACACTGCAGGCTTAGGGGAGGGGGCGGAAGGGGTGGAGTGGGAGCAGGGCCTGTGGCAGAGCCAAGGGTTAAGCAGTGAGTACCCCCCAGGACACTGGAAAGTTGGTGCCTGTAGCTCCAGCCCCGGAGTCGGTGCCTATACAAGGAGCTGCATATTAACTTCTGAAGAGCTGCATGTGGCTCTATAGCCAGAGGTTGGCCACCCCTGCTCCACTGTAATAAAATAACTAAGGAGGATGTTAAACAGAATCTACTAGGGATAAACGCTTTGAAATATCAGAGGGGTAGCCGTGTTAGTCTGGATCTGTAGAAAGCGACAAAGAGTCGCGTCTGACGAAGTGGGTATTCACCCATGAAAGCTTATGCTCCAATACGTCTGTTAGTCTATAAGGTGCCACAGGACTCTTTGTCGCTTTTAAATAAGCAGGACTGGATAACTTACACCTAAGAGTCCTAAAACGGATAGCTAAGGAGATCTCTCATCCGCTGATGTTAATTTTTAATAAATCTTGGAATACTTGGGAAGTTCCAGAAGACTGAAAGAATACTAATGCCATGCCAGTATTAAAAAAGAGCAAGTAGAATGTCCTGACTAATTCTAGGCCATTTAGCCTGACATCTCCCATAGGCAAAATAATGGAAGCTGGTATTGGATTCAGTCAATAAAGAGCTAAAGGATAGGAATATAATTGTCAGCATGGTTCTGTGGAAAATAGGTTTTGTCAAACAAACCTGACTTCATTCTTTGAGATAAGTTTGGCTGAGAAAGGTAACTGACTTGGACTTTTGTAAGGCATTTTGACTTGATACCACAAGTCCAACACAAGTTATTGGACTGAGCGTGTGGGTAACTCTGTGAAATTCTATGCCCCGTGTTATATAGGAGGTCAGACTAAATGATATAAGGTCCCTTCTGGCTTTATACCTCATTTTTCCCTGTACAAAGTCGATATAAACTGCTACTAAATCAGAGTGATAGCGTTTTATACCACTTTGCATAGGAGTGAAGAACTACACAAAGGTGCAAGGCTGGAATGATCAGAATCCTCTTTTTCTGACTGGAATTGTATTGATGTCAAGTATCTAGTGCTCCATTTTAGTTAATAAAACACATTCATGAAATCAAGTACAAGTCTGTATACTTCTCATGTCTAAACTCTCTAACAAAGGAGTTTCTTTCTCTTCATATGCTCCACAACTGTTTTTTTTATCCAAGTTCATATGTTAATGCTTATCTGAGCAGAGAGTGAGTGTGCCTGTATATTATTACTTGTTGATTGTTTGTCTTACTGTAGCACCTAAGAGCCCCAGTTATGGCCCAGGACTCCATTGTGTTAGGTATTGTACAAACACAGAAAATGCTTACAATCTATGTTTGTTTAAGACAAGAGGCAGCAGATAGGGGAATACAAAGAAACAATGAGACAATATTGGTCAAGGTGATAAGCTATTGTCTGAGCCCACCAGTAGCTTGACCATTGCCATGATGTCTACAAAACCACGACAAAAGAGTTTTAAGGTGGGATTTGAAGGAGAATCATGAGGTAGCTTTGAAGATGTTTATGGGCTGCTCTTCCATGAGGGGCAGCATGGGAGAAAGCACAGTAGAGTGTGTTTGAAAATTTAACAAGTAAGCAAAGGAGACTGATGCCAATGGTAGATCAAAGGCAGAAGTCAACATTTCGATAGTGAATAAGAGATGATGGATAGGGTAAGGATAGACAGTGACAGGCCTTTGAAAGTTAAGACAAGTAGCTTGTATTTGATCCGATGGGGTGGGGGGGGAGGGGCGGCGCAATGGAAGGCTGCAAAGAGGAATAATGTGATCAAAGCGATGGATCTGTGCAGCAGCATTCTGAATGGATATGAGTGCGGCAAGATTGTATTTGTCAAGGTAAACAAAAGATGTTGCAATAAATGAGATGCAAAGTGGCAGGAGTTCTAGCTTGGATGGATGTTATGCAGAGAGAATTTGGCAAAATTTAGACATAGCCTGGATGCGAGGGCCTAGAGAAAGGACTGAGTCAAAGATGATGCTTAGGTTATGGGTCTGAGTGTCAGATCTGGTAAGTTAGTTGGGGTTGTCCACCATGATCAAGAGCGGAGGTTGAAGGGAACGCTTTGTGGGAATGACTAAGAATGGCAGTAAGTCTTCCTTCAAGCCTGTGAAAGGAAAGTCCCCTTCCACAAGTTCCAGTTATGGGGAGGAAGCATGCTCTAAAGAGTCCAAGCCCAAAAAAAGACCACAGAAACCAATGGATCCATTGTTACTGGGTTCTGACCTGCACTGACCTACTGTCAACACCTGCATCCCTCCGAGCTCAAGACCTATCTGCTCCAGGGAAGACTATTGTTCCTATACTAGTTCTGGGGACTGAGAGAGTATCCTTGATTCCAGGGAGGTCGTGAAGTGTTTTCCCTGGGACAGTCAAGGTCTCCATACTGCCTGGGACCCTCTACTTCCAGGGAGACTTTATCTTCTTTGCAGGGCATACCTCAGCTGAGGCGCCTCTCACCCCATGCTCCGGCACCTCTCACCCCCAGCAACAGAATGGGCTAAACAACAACCTACACTCCACCCCATCCGACAGGGAAGGCAAAGTGGCTTGACCTTTTGGGCCACAAGGTCTTCTCCTCAGCCAGCCGCCTTCAAGATTTTGAATTATCAGGCA